ACGGTCTGCAGAGTCACAAACCCTCAAAGTACACCCTGTAGCGAGTAAAACTCTAACACAGAAAATACCTCCCCAAACGCCTCGTTGGAGATTTCTCATGTTCTTCCTGGGCATTGTGACGTCTGAACACCCAGTAGCCACGCCCAGAGCTATGACCAGGCTGATTGGTCCAAATTAACCAATCCACGGACTTCCTCACACACACACTCAGTGCAGGCAGCTCTGCTGATTTCTCCTCCCTGGCTGCAGGCTGATAACAGACAGTTGGGATCGCGGCGAAATTCCCTCTGCAGACCCATTCTCACAGCGTTTATCAACCTTTTTCTTACTCAATATCAAGCCCCACTTATTGTTTTTACTTCGGCTGTGACTTTGTATGTGCTCAGGATGAGTTTGGCTGTGTTTCGATGTGTATCGCTAAACAAGGAAACCGCACCTCCACGGAGCTCAGCGCGATTCACAACGTCGCGACCAATCAGAGCACACTGTGCTCACAGGGAGGGTGGGGGCTGGAGCTATTGGAGCTACAACGAGCCGTTAAAGGCAGAGAGTGAAATTCAGTGAATACACGTAGTTTACAGAGATGCTGTATGAGAAACCAATGTGAGTTTGGAAAATTGCACAATATAAATCTATTCTAGTAGACCTCAACAATGGAATTATGATCAGTAGAAATGGACATGACATGTCTCCTTTAATAAAACACATGAAAGGTGTTTGGAAAGCCAATGTGAGCAATTCAACACAGTTCCTCCATCCATAAATACTTAAATTAAACAATCTAGAAATGAATCATCCACTTATAGTGGGTTTAAACAGACCCTTCCAGCTGAACTGAATTAATATATCCTGCATAGAGTATAAAGTTATTTCAAAGCCGCAGCTGTAGTGAGGTGAGGGACCAGCTGCAACTTACTTGTGATTCCCTCGGACATGATGTCTGTCATCTTACAGCATGAGGAAATCATCCTCATACTCAGTCTGTCCACCACCAGCACCTGCAGCACGGTGACACAGCAGGGGGCTTAATCATCATTCTCTTTTACATATTATTATCCAGTGTCAAGATCATAGGGGAATGACGCCATATTTAATCACTATAACAAGAGCCGTTACCTTCCATTTTCCTTTTTCTCGTGCCTTTTTGATGACATCATTCATTATCTCTGTAAAGAAGAAAAGGTCATTATAGTCAAGACATCAACAAAAAAACCTGGACTTCACATAACACAACCATTCAACTCTCAGTTTAATTAGACCCGGGATTGAGTAAGCATTCTAATTGGATATCAGTCTTGTGGTGAGCTGGATTTGATAAAGTGAAGTATAACTATGGAGACTGACTTTAATTCACTCTTAAGAATCTTCAGTAGTTATGTCCAAGAGAAATGTCAACATGTTGATTTATTTTTGGTTCTATCAGATTTCCTGCTGCAGATATGACATGTGTCAACCTGCCTCGTACTGCCCAGATCTGATGGCTGCAGGACTGAGAATAACACTCTGCTCCCCTCACTAGCCTGCAGAAAGACTTATGAGTGCAAGGGCAAACCGACAACACCAATAAAATGGCTCCTACAACATTTATTATGTTTTCCTCCACTGGTGCTCTAATAACTGTGGGGGGGTGGGG